CCTCTCCCATCGCTCCCGATACCCACTGTTGATGCTAGAAGGCCTTGCAAAAGAGTTATAATACTCTACGGCTGGATTTTCTGGGCAACTCTCCAGTCTCCAAAAGAACCTCTCAGGCACACTCATTCAGTTGCACCAACCAGGACCCTGGCCCCGAATGACTCGCCCAGGGGAAACCAGATAAACATCTCCACCTTCTATGAAGGGGACCAAAAAAAAAAAGCAATCTCTCAAATCTTCAGGAACCCAAAATAGAACAAAAAGGATCCAACAGGAGTCAAAGTGGAGGCAACCACGTCAAATGTGCCATCACATACTTTCCAGGGGTCTCTGTCTCCGTCCCCAAACCGCAGACAAGTGTCCCCGGGAAAGCACTGTTGGGTCTCACAGGCCAGCTCAAAAGCAGCTTTCCCGGGTCGCCCACTCCTCCTGACCGTGGTCTCCAGGGCAAGGATGAAAGAGCCCTTCGCTCTCAGTTAAGGGGTCATCAGGGGCATGTGGAGCAGGAAAGGGAAACCACCGCTCAAGGATCCTTCCTCCATACACTTACCCAATTTAGAACCGCGGCATCCCCCGCTTCTCTCCCTGAAGCTCTGCCCGCGCGCCCCCTCCTCGACCCTACACCCTCCGCCTTCGGGGTATGAAGAGTGGGCGCCCCCTCTTCAGTCATTCCCTCTCCCTCTCCTCCCCACCCCCACTCCCACCCCCACCCCCACCCCAGCGTGTAGAAGCCCCTCACCGGCCTAGGAAGAGGGCGCTAAGCGCAACCAGCAGCAAGACCAACAGCTCAGAGAGAAGCAGAGGCATTTAGGTCCGGGTCCGGCCCGGCCTGGCCCCGGCCCCCGCCATGCCGGGCCCCGACGCCGGAACCGCGCAGCACCGCCGCGGGCCGACCAGCCGCGCGCGCAGGGTCAATGCTGAGCCTGGAAGCGTCGTTGCGCGCGCGCGCGCCCCGCCCCCAAGGCCTGCCAGCCAGCCAGTTGTCTCCCTCCCTCCCTCCCACTTCCCGCCCCGCGCCGCCCCGCGCCGCCCCGCGCCGCCCCGCGCCTGGGAGCCTGCAGGAACGACTGTGCGCGACGTAAGGGCGTGGTTGCGGAGGAAGCCGCGAGGGCGGGGGTGGGACGCTGACCGTGAAGTAGCTGACACATAACGCCCCGCCCTGGGCGCGCCTGCCAGGGTCGAGACTGCTGGGGGTCGAAGTCCGGTCACGCTGTCCCCAGGTTAGTGGTGATCTGACTCGCTCATTTCAGCCTCAGATTTTTTTTTTTTTTTTTTTTTTTTTGGTACCGGGGGTCGAACTTGGGACCCTGCGCTTTCGAGGCAGGCGCCAGAACCACGGAGGTAAATCCCCGGCCTCAGCCTCCCGAGTTCTTCAAAACATATTTCCTAAGGCAGCTAAATAGCATGGCCGCTCAAGAAATCGGCCCAAGTTATACCATTGGGTCAGAAGTAATAGTACTTCCGTATTTTTCAGGATGCTGAGGAATCCAAGAAAAAACTAAAAGACCTCAGAAATTCCAGCTCATTCTACCCACAAGAGAAACCCATGAGTTTTTAACTCGTTTATTGCCCGATTATGGGTCTGGTCAATTTATACGTATTAAACTATTGTGTACTTTTCCAGACATCACTGGAAAAACTTGTTTCTACAATGTGTATAGCACAAACTGGGACAAACTGTAAGAAGGGATACTGCAGAAGTTTGCCTGGGAAGCAAAATAATTACTGTACATGAAATAAAATTAAAGGCCAGTTCAGGTCATAATTAATTTTACCTGCTTCCTCCTCTATGAAATTAATTGGACAAAGGTCCCTTAGAATGACTGTGATGTTATGGTAAAACAGCTTTGTTAGCTGGGCGAGGTGGCACAAGCCTGTAATCCCAGCACTCTAGGTGACTTGAGACAGGAATATCCCAAATTTGAGCACAGCCTGAGCAATTTAGTGACTAAAGGTACTCTTTTCAAAAACTAAAGTTTTAAAAAGTCAGAGAATGTAGCTGAGCTACATTCCTAGACCTAGGGTCTTTGTTTTGTTTTTGTTTTTGAGACCGGGTCTCGCTATGTCCGAGTTGCCCAGTTGAGGTGGAATTTGTTTCTCCTGCCCCAGTCTCCTAGAATGCTGAGGTTACAGGTGTGAGCCACCATGCTGTTTGTGGGTAACTATCTGAATGATGATTTACTAACAGTATAATTTACTGATACTAAAGTATAGTTTACTAATACTAAAGAAATCTTGAGGATTTCAAAAGTCAGTATTATGGAGTAATGTCTCTTTGTTCTAGTGTCCTATAATGTTCTATAAACATCCTTCAAGATTTACTCAGAGCTTCACACCATTTCAATTTTCACCAACATGTTGCTCAAAGTTGCTTTTATTCTTCCAATTAGTTTCCTTCCTTTTCTAGCTCTTAAATCAGTTATCTCACATTCTCCTAGGGGCACTACTACTGTTTCACACTTTAGAAGATAGGTCATACTTATTTTTCAAACATCATTATTTCTGTTATCCTTAAAATCAGCATGGGGCCGGGGATTTAGCTTAGAGGTTCCAGCACCTGTCCAGCAAGCGAAAGGTCCTGAGTTCAATCCCCGGTTCCGGGGGGCGGGGGGGGGCATATATCAGCAGTGTATGTCCCCTGAATGGTCAGGGAAGGTCCAGAAACTGTCCAGGTCAAGGAGTGGTGCCTTGTAACCCATCTCCATACTCTTTCATCTGTTTGTTTTATTCAGCTAAGATATCCATCACTTCCTTCTCCCTAGACTGTTATGACTCCTACTAGCAGCAATCTCAGAGCTTGAAATGTTGATTCTATTGTCTGTTTTATTGACAATACTGATTCCTAAGGAATCAAAAATGAAGTGGAAGGGCCAGGGATATAGCCCAGTAATGCTGCACTTGCCTACCAAGTCCAAAGTCCTGAGTTTAATCCCCAGTACCAGAAAAAAAAAAGTCTCTTTAAAACAATTGAAGTGGAATGGAGAAGAGGAGTAGAGGCAGAGATGGAACTCTACTAATTCATAGCCTAAGTTTACTGAGACTACAAGTCTTCCTAAAAGAAACAAAGTCTTATCGCTTCTCAGCCTTTTGGCTAAGACCAAGTGAAGAAACACAAAGTCTTGCCAGGTGTGGTGGCGCAAGCCTGTAATCCCAACATTCTGGAGGCTGAGGCAGGAGGATCATAGCAAGTTTGAGGCCAGCCCAGGCTACATACCGAGTTCAAGGCCAACCAGAACTACAAAGTGAACCCTGTCTCAAAAGAAAAAAAGAAAAGAAAAGAAAAGAAACCAAATCTGGTACCAGGGATCGAACTCAGGACCTTGCGCTTGCGAGGCAGGCATGGCGCCACTAAGCTACAAATCCCCAGCCCAAAAAAACAAGTCTTAATGCCATGGTCCAGATCTGGCACAGAACTGGATCTCTAAATGTTCAACATTAACATCTTAAAGCAAATGGAAAAAAAGAAAAACCCACAAGTTTTTAAAAATAAGTAAGCTTGGGCCGGGAATTTAGCACAGTGGTTTTGACGCCTGCTCTGCAAGCACAAGGATCTGAGTTTGATCCCCGGTATGAAAAAAACCCCCCAAAAACAAAAAAATAAATAAGCTTGCTACCCAGGCACTGTGGCACACACCTGTAGTCGCAGCACTAGAGGCCAAGGCAGGAGGATCATTGAGAGTTCAAGGCCAACCTAAACTACAATACATAGTGAGACCCTCTCTCAAAAAAATAAAAGTTTGCTAATCACTGAAATTCTAGCAGATGGCAGGCATCTCTGTTCATCAGTATCATGCTTGGAGTATATAGGAGTAAGCCAAGGGTGGTGGTGCACACTTCATCACAGCAATCTGGAAAACTGAAGCAAGAGGAATCTATTTTCAAGCTCAACTTGGTGATTTAGCAAGTTCCTGTCTCAAAATTTAAAAATTCAGGGGCTAGGGATTTAGCTCAGTGGCGCCACATCTGCTTTGGAAGCTCAAGGTCCTAAGTTCGATTCCCAGAACTGGAAAAAAAAAAATTAAAAATTTTAAGAAAGGGTAGGGATATAGCACAAGGTTAAGACCCTTGGTTCAAAACCCAGTACTGAAGGGGGAAAAAATTGTATAGGAGCAAACTTTCTGAAATTAAGTGGTACAGGAAAGAAGGAAATGAGGTAGTCAGAGGACAAAAACAAAAACTTTCCCATAACGATTTCAAAAACAGATATCCCTATCCTGTCAACCAAAAAAGGTGCTATCTTCCAAGAGCTAACTACAAAAATTGTAGCACAGTAAAAAGAATGAGTCAAGGGCCAGAGATTTAGCTCAGTGACACTGAGCCTGCCTGGCAAGTGTAAGGTCCTGAGTTCAATCCCTGGTACTGGGGAGAAAAAAGAGTGAGCCAGACAAAGCTACATTCCTATCCCAAAATTATTTACTAGTTTTATGAATTCAGTTCACTTCCCTGTCCAGATGCCCTCCCCAAAAATAAAATTTCAGGCAATAAACTGTTCTGTTATAGGGCCAGGAATTTAGCTCAGTGGTTCTGGCGCCTGCCTCGCAAGCACAAGGTCCCGAGTTCGATCCCCGGTACTAAAAAAAAAAACCAAAAAAAAAAACCAAAACAAATAAACTGTTCTGTTCTCCCTTGGTAAAATTAATGTCTACCCTATAATTTCTGTGAAGATTAAATGAAGTAACAGCTACAACATGATGTCTAGTGTTTAGCAGTTAATGTTGGTTCTTCTTTCTACCTCTACCTTTTTTTCTTATCTGCTGTAACAGATCCAGAGTAAAACATTTCATTACCTACTCATTATGGTATATTTTTTGAGTCTTTAGCCATACTTATTCAAAAATTTAATAAGTTGAGGTGCCTAGGGAGAACTGAGGGGGCAGAAAGAAAAGGTTTAGATGTAAGTGAACCTAAATGGCCCATGCTGAAGGTTTCCACCATCTCCACAGTTTTACGACTTGAGGACTAAGCACACCATGAAATAATATTAATAAGTGACAATATAGTAACTGATAATAAATTTTTATAATTTCAGAGAAAGAAAACTAGAGGGGAATTCACACACATCAACAATCCAGGCCATGGGGCCTGATATTTAGCTCAGTGGTGCCGCACCTGCCTGGCAAGTGCAAGGTCCTGAGTTCGATCCCCAGTACCCAAAAAAAAAAAATCCATGCTGCGCAAGCGCAAGGACCCAAGTTCGATCCCCGGTACCAAAAAAAAAAAATCCATGCCAACAAATGGAGGGAGGGAAGGGGAAGGGGATGTCAAAAGAATTAAGATGCCTTATGTACATGTACCAACTCCCCACAATGAATGTTATCGGTATGTACCGCAGACATGTACTGGAAAAATATAAAACAAAAACATCCATGATGCCAAGCACCCGAGGAGGAGAAATGTCCCAGCTAAGAGAGAAGTTTGTTTAGTTTCTTATAACAGTATGAATAAAAAAACATCTGTGCCTTCACCAGGAAGTCCTCTACTCAGAACTGACTCAAATGTGGGAGAGCAACCAATTCCAGGGTGAAGGGATACAGCTTCCAAACACAGCCATTGCCTTCTATTATGCATCTTCATCTCCATGAGGATATGACCAGTGCCCAGATGATGTGTGGCAGGGATCCCTGGGTGAAGCAGCAACAGATGTCTATGAATACTGTGTAGTGACATTGGCTCAGCACCTCTGGACTCATAGCTCTACATGGTGGGCTTCTGCCTTCAACAACTCACTGGGCTTCATGAAGATGCCTTCCATGGCTTTCCAAAAGTTGTTCTGGCTTGGCTGGGCCATGCCATGCACTTCTTTTTGTCCACTGATGGGTCGACCATATTGTTCTCCTGTGACAGACAGCAGTACTTCGGTGAAAGAATGTTTGAACCTCACTTCACCATCTCTCAACCAGTAGGGCCCATTACAGAGCACTGTCCAGTCATCCAGATAATCACCTTCACCTTCCTCACCAAAAGCACTCACTTCCTGGAAAACACAGAAGGTGGCAATGTTAGCATGGCTGATACCCAGGCTTGAAGAGTAAGCAAGGCAATGGGAAAAAAGAGAAGCTGCACAAAAGTGACAAATAAGAGGCTTTCCAATGTTGTTAAAAAATAAAATAACTGCAGGGAAATAATACACAAAGGACATCTCAGAGAAAAATAAATTAATTACCATAAGATTATGGTCCTAGTCCTGAGTTTGGAATTAATACTATATTTGCCTTATATTTTCTATTACAGTCTTAATTTTTTTCCTTTAGAGACAGGTTCTTGAAACAGCTATTAATAATTGACAATACAGTGAGTGATAACAAATTTTTATCATTTCAAAGAAAGAAAAATAGAAGGGAATTCATACACATTAACAATATTACCCAAGCTTGCCTAGACCTAAGTGATCTTCTTGTCTCAGCCTCCCAAGTAACTGGGACTACAGGCGTATACCACTGCACTTGGCCTATTAAAATACTTTAGAATTCTTACTATTTGACTCTAAATATTCCTGGTTCATCCCTCTAACTAAATATGTCCCCCCAGCCCCCGTGTTTGTGTGTGTGCTAGAGATTGACCTCAGGACCTCAAGCATGATAAGCACACACTCACTGAACTATACTCCTAGAGCCCTGTAACTTTTTTTTTTTGTTACAAGGGATCGAACTCAGGACCTTGTGCTTTCGAGGCAGGTGGTGGAACTACTGGGCTAAATCCCTGGCCCCCTGTAACTAGTTTTTAAGTGACCTAGTGAGAAACAATGGGTTCTAGATTCAGGTAGAACTTGAATCTCAGCGTAATCTCTGTAAGTCCTTTGAGCCTTCATTTTGTCCTCTGTAAAATGATGACAATATCACCTTACCATTGTGAGAACTAAATGAGATAGTAAATATTAATGAAACAAAATATAGTAGATTCTCTATATTCCATTGTTCATCTAAATCTCATTCTCCTTAAGGCCAAATATTTACTTTCTAGGCAATGACAACCAAAAATCTACTGATTTTAACTATAACTTTAGATGACAAAAAAACAGCCACTCGGAAAGGGAGTCTGTAAAACTAAAGGCAAAAGGAACTATGCATAAGCACAGTACTCTATGAGCTAAATTAAGTACCCCGTAAGAGTTCCAGTTAACAATTCTGATGTTACTACATTTGTATCCTGGAACTAAACAAGTAAATGGATGGTGGATAATAGGAGTCAAGTATCTCATTTTTGCAGTGGGAATTTATAAATACAGAAAAGAGGCTAGAATAATCTATGTGGTAATAGATTAGATTTGGAGACATCATAAAGAACCTATTTTAACTTACATATATATGGGTTTGCATACACAAAACATTTCTTTGCTCTGTCAGGAGAGAGGGCCTAAAAGAAACAATACCCAGGTATCAATAAGCTCACCTAGGACCTAAATCTTGGTTCTAATACCATTCTCCAATAAAGGGAGGTAGGGCTCTGTTATGTCTTGTGTTCAGTGTGCCCTCAAAGCCTCATGCAGTCATATGTGGGGCTTTTTCAGAGGTGGCTGAATCTAGAGTTGTCTTGTGCTGCTTGCTGCCTTCTGTCTGCCCTGCTTTGCCATGGACTGTTTCTCCTCTGTGATGCCCCTCTGCCATGCCACCCTGCCTTGCAGCCAGCCAACTATGGACTGAAACCTCTATGAACTGTGAGCCAAATAAACCTTTCCTCCTTTAACTTTGGGTGTCAGGTATTTTGTCTCAGTAACGAGAAAGTAACTAAAACAGGCTCCTTGAAAAAACTGAAGATTCTAAGAGTAGGGCAAGAAATAAACAAGATGAGCCTCAAGCATTTTTTAATGCCAAAAACTAAGAAACTGCTTTTAAAGACACACACACACACACACACACACAAAGACTGTCAAATGGGCATTCCTGTAAAAGCTAACTAAAGCAATTCCTAATGGCCAAGTTGGAATTGAGAAATAAAATGAAGACAGTTATAAGGGGTTATGATTCAAAGTATAAAATATATATTTGTAGGTTCACATGGATATAAATAAATGAGTAAATAAATTAGGGAGACAAGACAAATCTCTTATAGAGGAAAACTCCAAATAACTAGCTATTCCAACCTAAAGTAGGAGAGCATAACTCCCCACTCCCTAAGGGTGAAATGAACATAGTAAATTCCTCCCAGAGTTCAGAACAGAAAAGGGTAAGATGAAAAGAATAACTGTAAGAAGAAACCCAACAGCACCTGCCTGGCAAGCACAAGGTCCTGAGTTCGATCCCCAGTACAAAAAAAAAAAGAAAGAAAGAAAAGAAACTCAAACACAAAACTTTAGGGGACCAGGGATTTAGCTTAGTGGTGACACCGCCTGCCTCGAAAGTGCAAGGTCCCGAGTTCAATCCCCGGTACCAAAAAACAAAACATAACAAAACAAAAAAATGAATCAAACACAACTTTAGCCATGTAATCAAGGTCAACAGCAAATACAAATCATGTAGATAGATGTACCCTTGATAGGATGTGATGAAAATAGCTCTTTACCTCTGTGATTTTCTTCCTAAATCTTTTTATAAACACAGTCTCATCACAAGAAAAATATGAGCCAGATTCAAAAAGATCAACAATACCACTGCCTAGCAATCCTCCAAACTTTCAAGGTCGTCAAAAACAAAGAAAGTCTGAAAAACTGTTACAGTCAACAGGAATCTAATGATTACTAAATGTAATACAGTACCCTGGGACAGAAAAAGAACATTAGGTGAAAAGTATGGACTTCAGTTGACAAATATATTGTCAATGTTGCTTCTTTAGTTACAACAAATTTACCCTGCTAATGCAAGGTGTTAATGGGAAAACTGTTTTAGAGTAGGGAGTAGGAGGAAGAAGCCACTAAGGGGCTACATTCCCTGAAAGTTCAAGTGACCCAGGAGCTGGAAGTTCACTGCAGTGGTAGAGCATGTACTCAGTATGTGCAAGGCCCTGATTTCAATTCCTACCACAAGAAAAGAAAAGAAAGGGTTAAGAACCCAGAAATCAAATAAGAAGCCAACTGAGTAATGCAGATATGCAGAGTAGCAGTGATCCACTGGATGCCACCTCACCTGATTTCCAGAAAGAGGTGAAGTGAAATGGTGACTATGGAGGTTTCGGCCAGTGTTGACATGTGTCAGCCGGATGGGCTGGCCACATTTGATGGGGGTTCCTCTTTCACACACTGTGGCAGTCTTCCCCCGTATCCTCCAGTAACTGTTGCTGTCATCCACAGAAGTTACACCTGTCACTGACTGCTGCCCACTTCCTGCAGTCAAAAAAAGAAAGGCAAGTGAGTACAATCCGACTCTTCTCTTTCCTGTGGCCAATAACATGCCCTTTGTCATAAAACTGATGTGCAAGGGTGGAGAAGAAACATTATGCTGGGTAATATTTTTTTCTTCTACAATATTAAAATATGTAAAATACTAAATGTGTTTATACACCATAGTTTTAGTTATTACACGATATACTATATTTAAGAGTGTGCCAGATCAGGAAATTCCAAGAATTTGCTCCAAAGAGCACTAGATACATAAATACATAAGTTAGTATATGTCAGATATTTAAGCATATAATTTTAACGTATTTGTAATAGTATTCAATGTCTATGTATTACAATAAATGTTTCATATTTTACAATTAAAATAAGACAATTTTATGCCATCAACTTTCATCCAAGCAGCCAATACAACTCCCAAAATCCTGTGAGTACCCCAATATACAGTTATAAAAATATTTAACTGAGCTTGGCAGCACACACCTATAATCCCAACACTGGGGGGCTGAGACATGAGGATCCAAAGTTTAAGTGCAACCCAAGCAATTTGGCAACTTACTAAAACCCAGTTTCAAAATGAAGGAAGGAAGGAAGGAAGAGAAGAGAAGAGAAGAGAAGGAAGGGGAGAGTGGGAAGGCTGGGGATATACAGTTCAGTGTGAAGGCCCTGAGTTCAATCCCCAGTACCAAAAACAGTAACACTCTTGGGTCATCCAAATTTAGTGACTCCTGCCCTAACTGGTGCAAAATAAGTAACCACACAGTAGCCAGGCATAGTGACACATCCCTGGAATCCCAGCACTCAGAGGCTGAGGTAGGAGGATCACTGCAAGTTCAAGGCCAGCCTGTGCTACCTAGTGAGACACTGTCTCCATAAATAAATAAATAAATACATACATACATACATACATACCCACACATATATGCATATATAATTCATAGCTAACTAATGTATACTGAACATTTACCAAGTCTCAGGCACTAACTCAAGTCCTTTCCTCACATGTTATTTAATACATGCATCTGTTCTCTGAGTTAGGTAATATTATTAACCCCACTTTACACTGGGGTTTTAGAAAGTATGAATAGTATACAGCTCTAACAAGGCTGATGTTGAATTGGAACTAACACTCTTCACCACTTATGTTCCACAAAGGTCACCTTTCTTCTTCCTGCCTTATTTTCTGTCAAGTTCAGTCAAGTAAATAGGTTACTCTCTCATGAACTCCACGGATATTCTCTTCCCTAGGCCTCATTCATTTCCCAATTCTTTGAAAGCACCCCATACAATATTTCCCAGATACTTTCCTCAAATACTCTCACCTGTTCCTCTTACCTTTGCCTTCAGTTCCTTGGCTCTACCTGACCACAAGCTTTTAATGATACTGCCCTTTCACTATGTAACACTTTATACCTTGTAGGTACTAATTATCTGAGCGACTGTAACAAACTATCAGTTCCTCTCTATTGTCTTCTCCCCTTAGCTCATGGATTTGCCTTTTTTTTAAAGACAGTTTCTTACTGTGTAGTCCAGACTGGCTTTGAAATTGCTACCTAACCTAGACTAGTCTGAAACTCATGATCCTCCTACTTCGGCCTCTGCAGTGCCAGCATTACAGGCATCTGCCACCACACTTAGTATATACTTTGTTGCATCTTTTTTAAAACGGCAAAGAAAAAAAAAAAAGCAAACCAACTCTTCTTCTAGTTACTGCCTCACAGCTCTGCTCACTAAATTATGGTCTACATTTCATCTTTTACTTTTTCTACCCCACTCTGATCCTTATACTTCGGGATTACCCAGAGTTCTATTTCTGATTCAGGACAAAAGCATTTGTATATTTATCAAGTATCTCCAGTGCTTCAAGTTGACAGAATTTACTGTAATTTTCAGACTGAGAACCATAGTTCACCCTGAGCAATTTCATATACTCTCATCACACCACAAATGTCATCTGCCAGATGCTGTATCTAACTCTATCTCAAATTCAGCACACAACCCTCTTCTGAGCTCCAAGAGTATTTGAAACCCACAATTTCTAAGCTTCTCTCTACCTCCATCCTAATTCAGTAGCTCTAAGGGAGAAAACCAGATCAAATTAAAAATAAGCCTAAAGTATAGTGCTTACCTGAATAGTTGCTAGGATTGTTAGGACATCCCAGTAAGGACCACTCAGTTCCTTTCCTAGTTTAACTGGTCAGACAGGTCCCCTACTCCCAATCATGAACTATAGTCCAGCCCATCTGAGAGAATTTCCTCTCTCAGCTAATAGCATCATCAGTTATCCAAGTTATCCTCCTCACACCTCGCTAGCTGTTCTTCTTTTTGTTTTTTCTTTTCAATGTTGGGGATGTAACAGGGCTTTGCATATGGTGGGTAAGCAGTCTATCACTGAGCTAATTCCCCAGCCTTTGAACTTCTCTCTTTTGTCTTTTTTTCTCCCTTTCTTGTGACTTGACAGATTCACTGTGTCATCTGTATCTAGACCAATACTAGGCATACAGTAGATGTTCATTAAATCTATGCCGAATGAATAGACCCACAAATTACTTATTATTAAGCATTTTATGCCGGGGATTTAGCTCAGTGGTTCCACCGCCTGCCTCGCAAGCACAAGGTCCAGAGTTTGATTCCCAGCATCAAAAAAAAAAAAAAAAAAGCATTTTAATCTTAATGGTAAAAGTCAGTTTCCTCTATAATGCCTTCTATTGCTTTAAGTTCCTTATAAGAAAGTTAAGATTGAGTAAAAAGGGGCCAAAAGGCGCTAAAAGCATAGGTAAGGTGCAAAAGAGCTAGAAAACTGAGGGTTGTAATCAAAGAGTATAATCAATTGGAATGAGACTTCAGAGATATAGCCCTTACTGTAATTTTCTACATGTCTATCTCTCTCGCATTGAATGGAGACAGCCCAGAGCAGCTAAAAGCAAGTTTTGTATCTGGATAGATTGAATCCAACCCTGTCTGTCATTCACTAGTTTGCAAGGATTTAAGTAAGCGATTTAATTTCTCTAAGTCTATTTCCTCATCTGCATCTATTTTCTCATCTGATATCTCGTTTTAAAATTAGGGGTAAGTACATAGTAACATGCGCGGCAGTACGTAGAAGCAGATATTACGATTAAGTTACCTTGAAACAGCTCAGTTCTCGTTTCCTCTGGACCTCAGAAACCTCCCCAGGGTACCCCCAACCTTCCAAGGCCCCGCCCTCTCCAGAGTCTACCAGGCCTCTCCAACCCACTCAAACCCGGTACCCAGTAGTACCTGACCCGTAGCGCACATCGTGTGAGTGAAGTCGGACATTATGGCGCGTGTTGAGTAGCTTCACCACAGAACCGCAAGTAACAACAGCCAGATTGGATGCTCCCACAGCGTTCCACAATCCTCCGAACAACAACAGAGGTATGACAGCCATCCCCGCTGGATCTCAGACCCCTTAATCTTCGAAGAAAACTTAGCCCCTCCCCGGAAACGGAAGCTGAACCAGGGAAGAGAGGAAGTGAAGACGCCCTTATCTGATCTTTATGGTTCCTTTGGCTAGAGCGGCCTGAGGAACTCTCTGGGCTAGGTAGTCTTCGATCCCCTCTCTGTGTTTCGAGGCCTCTGTGACAGCGGCTTTCCTAAGCCGCTTTCTTCCAGCTTCCACACTCTACGGACAAGAACCACCAAGAGAGCCGCCGGCGGGGGGCGGGGGGGCAGCAAGCAGTGGCCCGCCCACTCCCAGTGACAGGGAGCCGGAAGTGACGTAGCACGTTGACGCAGCAGTGGTGGCGGTGGCGGCGGTGGCGGTGGCGGCGGTGGAGGGTCCGTGCGGTGGGTCCGTACTATTCATTCCCAGTCTCGGTTCGACGACTCCATTTTCCTCGGTTGAGGTTTTGCGCACCAGAGAAGCGGCGAGCCTCAAGCAGGTAAAGTTCAGACTACAGAGTATGTTTCTCGCTTGGGTCAGGTGGAGAACCGGGCTCCTAGGGCCTGGTCCCATAAGGGAAGAGACATTAGGGAGTCGTCTGCGGGAAGAAGGGGGGCCCCCTCAGGCCTTCCTTGCTCTATGAGGGGGGACGTGGGAGAGGGGAGGAACGCAAGGTAGTTGCCCTTAGTCTCAAGGCTTTTCCAAACTCAGTAGCACCTGGAACCTGTGAATTGGGTGGCCTGTTGAATCAACAGGCTTCGTAGGGTTCGGTCCTTCGGAGCTTTTTGAAAAATGGGCCACCTGAAAGGACTGGGAATGGAAAGGACCTAGGGTTTCTGACCTGCTGTCGGGTGATCGAATTGTTTGTTCTGGGGATGTGAATCCTACCTGGCTTCTAGCAACTCAGTTATCAGGCTAGGAAGCTATGCTGCATTATAGCGCTTCCAATATTGTTGAATAATACAGTTAGAACTTTTTGGAGATGGTTGCAACTCTCATCTCTTTCTGAAGATTAGAGGGCTTGTAGAAGTACCTGAAGCCCATCCATTCTCTGTAGTTTCAGCTTTTCAAACATTTTCCAAACGCCTACCATAAACATCAGAATGTTTATCTTCTTGCAGTGTCTTTTTCTCCTCGCACTCTCTTGAACTAGCTGGAGGAATTCGTTTCCCTGCATTGTCACAAGAACTGATATTAATTTCCCTTTAGGGATAGGCTTAAGCTCTCTAAAAACACTTCCGTGAAAATTCAATGTAATATCACAAGGAGCAAGGGAGTGTTGTTAAGCCAGAGTGTGAACAGTATTGAATTTGACTCATTTCTTTAGAAATAAAAGTGTAGTTCCACTACACGTTACCCGTTTTAGGTCTTCAGTGTTGTTTGGTTTGGTTTTTGAAATGAGGTTCTTGCTGTGTTACCTAGGCTTCTGTCCGACTCCTGAACTTGAGAGATATTCCAGACTCAGCTTTCCCAGCGACAGGTGCACATCAGTATGCCTGGCCTGTCTTCAGCGTTTTAAAAAAACCATGACTGCCAGGGATTTAGCTCAGTGGTAGTGCAGCTGCCTTGCAAGCTCAAGGTCTCTGAGTTCGATCCCTGGTACCACAAAAAAAAAAAAAAAAGAAACCACAACTGCTGTCCCATCAACTGTGAATTTAGCATCCCTTCCACTAGTACAAACTCATTTTTACTCATTTGGCTTATGTGGCTACTAGATTACATTAGCACTTGTGTGACTACTAGATTAGATTGGCATAGCATCATCACTAGGAGGTTTTAATCTCATCAAGAGATTAATCATGTCAGAAAATGATACAGTTTAGAGAGACTGCATCGCATTTTGCATCTTCCCTTGCAGAGGTCTCCACAAAAAAGAAAGCCAGCTCATTATTATGGAAACATATGATCTTTGGAGGAAAATTAATTTGCCTTTGCTTCTGTGTTCTTTTTTTTAAAATTTTTTTGGTACTGGGGATCGAACTCAGGTACTTGCGCTTGCGCAGCAGGTGGGGAAATCACTGTGCTAAATCCCCAGCAACTTCTGTGTTCTTGATCTCAATAAATGGTACCACTATCTACACTGCACATAACATTGGTTTCCTTCCTCTCCATTATTTCCCAATACAACCAACCACCAAATCCTGTCTCCATGAAACTGTTTCCAGGACTAGGGATGTAGCTCTGTGGTAAGCACCTGCCTAGAGTGCACAAGGCCCTGAGTTCACTCCCCAGTACTGCAACAAAACAACACATGCACACATGCACTGTTCCATCAGCATGCAGATTATTTTTTGGTATCCTTCACATGCCTCTCCAGTTATCCTAATTTTAAAATTTTCAAATCAGATTTCCATCTGTGCCAATTCAACTTTCTCACCTTTTATGCATTACTCAGATTATACAAATCTCCTCTCTCCAACCAATCCATTGGAATTACTCTTGTCAGAATCACCAGTGATTTCTGTGTTACCAGATCCAATGGATACTTTGTTCTCATCTTTATGGACTGTTTGACACAATTGCCCCTTTCTTTTTTCTTTTTTTTTTTTTTGGTACCAGGGATCGAACTTGGGTCTTTGCGCTTGTGCAAGCGGCAGAACCACTAAGCCAAATACCTGGCCCTTTTGCTCCTTTCTTGAAACTCTCCTCTCCTGGTTTCACTGACACTTCACTCAGATTTTCTCCATTTACCTGGCTATTTCTTTTCAGTCTTCTCTGCTAGTCATTTTTCCTCTGTACCTAATGTTAAATAAATGTATGTGTGTATGTTGGGTTTTTCTCAGGGTTTAATCCTGAGTCCTGTACATGTTTCCCTTAGGTAATCCAGTCCCAGAGCTTCATTTACCATCTGAAAGCTAGCAACTCCCAAGTTTAAATCTCTAGCCTAGCCTTCTCTCTTGGTTCCAGAATTATATGTCAGAATGCCTGTTTAATTAGACTATCTTAGGCATCTCAAAGCTAACATAATCAAAAGAAAATTTTGGCTGCCTGCCTCACAAGTGTAAGATCCCAAGTTCAATCCCTGGTACCAAAAAAAAAAAGAGACAGAAGTTTGGTTTTCTCATCATTCCGGACCCATTGTTCTCCATCTCACTAAGTGGTACTCCCATCCACCTGGTTACCAAAGCCAGATGTCTAAGAATCGTCTTTAATTCTTCTATAAGTCCTGTAACTTTTACATCCAAGATATTTCAAATCTGTTTTTCATCTTCACTGCTACCACTATATTCTGGGCCATCATTATCTTTTGCATGGGTTACCAGAATAATATCCTAGTTTTCCTTGTTTCCCCTTATATCCCCCTCCATTATATTTTCCATGAAGCAGAATCTTGTCAAGTCATATCATTTGCATACTGAAAACTTGAGTGGTTTTCCTTGGCTTTCGTGCCCTGTTTAACAGACCCCACCTCCCTCTCATTCAGCCATCTTCACCATGCCTGCTCTGATCACATTGGTCTTAGGACATCACTGACTATATGCCAAGTTCTTGCCCACTTTTTCTTCTGGATTCTATGCTCCTGGCTCTGCATGGTGTTTTTTATTTTTGTCTGTTCTTGACATCTCAACATAACTAAACTCACCTTCTCAGAGATATATTTTTTTCTTAGTACTTACAGCAAGGTTAACTTGTTTATGGTTTGTCTCCTCTACTAGGATACAGGAATCTTTGTCTTGTAAAGGGTAGGGACCTTTACTTATACATTTCTTGCATATGATAAGTGCTCATTAAATAAGTATTTGTTTAATTACCAAGTAAAGTAAATCAATTCTCTGTTCAATACCCTGCAGTAGCTTCCTGGCACACTTAGGATAGAGTCCAAACTCTTTAATTTAACCTACAAAGATCTTTATGCCCTCACTTCTGACTCATCAACCATTCTCCCTCTGCCCAAATCAGGCTGCTCTGTTCCTGCCACAGTGCATGCCTTGTACTGGAAGGTTCTTTAACAGTGTCACCACCCCACCCACCAACCACTGCCTCTAGAAGAAACCAACTCCTCCTTTCTTCACTTTTTTTTGGAGACAGGATCTTGCTAACTTGCTCAATTGCCCAGACCAGGCTGAACTTTACAATTGTCCTGCCTCAGCCTCCCAGAGTGCGGGGATTACAAGAGTCTTCCACCATACCTGCCCCTGTGGAACTCTTGTCATCAATTCTTTAAAGACTTGCACTTCTGGATACAAATCACCAAACTAGGCCTGTGGGTCAAATTAAACGACTTCATTCATTTACATATGGTCTGTGTATACTTTTGTGTTATAATGGCAAATCTGGCTCTGTAGAGAAGGTTTGTTGGCCCCTGTGTTAGAGCAGGAACTATATCTTCTCCAGTATGTGTGGCACAAGGCTCAGTAACGTTCCTCCTCCCTGTGTTGCAAGGGTTCTGAATCTGGTTATAGAAGTCTGTTGTTTCTGCTCCTCTTTTGTCCTTTTTTTTGTTCCTCAAGTAAATATGGAAAGAAAAAGGATAAGTAGTATTTTTAAGTTATTTATGTTAAGAACCATTATTAAGAGTATGCTTTTTATTGAAAAGATTCTAAGCTGGGAGCAGTGGTCCACATCTGAAATCCTAGCTCCTGGGGCGGCTTAAGTCAGGAGAGTTGCAAGTACGAGGCCACCCTGAGCAACATAGGGAGAGCCTGTCTCAAAAATAAGAAAAAGGGGGCCGGGGATTTAGCTCAGTGGTTTCACTGCTTGCTGCGCAAGCGCAAGGACCCGAGTTCGATCCCCAGTACCAAAAAAAAATAAAACAAACAAACAAAAAAAGGTCTGAGATGTAGCTCAATGGTAGAACACCTCTGGATTGATGTTGCTATCCCCCCCCAAAAAAAAAAATTCTGAGATTTTTTTTTCTATAAACCCAATGTGCATATAAAAATAACAAAACTACCCATTTCTGTATTTTAATGTTTTTGTGTTTGTTTTTGTTTTTTGTTTTTTTGGTACCAGGGATTGAACTTGGGACCTTGTGCTTGCGAGGCAGACAGCGGCACCACTGAGCTAAATCCCCAGCCCTGTATTTTAAGGTTGAATTAAGTGTAATTAGCCTTTTTTGTAACAAAGAATTCTGAATCCCAGATATAAAAGAACTTACACTCTGAAACTTTTATTTATTAAACTTTCTCAGATTTTTAAATTCCAATTAGATATTCATTCACTCCTGGGTACCTTTGAAATGGGCCTATCCCCTTGCTCACAAAATATAAAATGTGAGATGACTTGTAGTTTAAATGCACAATAGACTTGTGGGGCTATTCCCCAA